AGTGACACACTCACCACGTACCCGGGGAGCAAATCCTGGACCGTCCAAGCCAGCCGGGCCCTCTACTATGCAGAAGGACATCCATTACCATACTCGTCTGTGAGGATAAGAGCGCTGACTTGTATAATGGCTGGGCTCCGCAATTCACTGCATAGGCCAATCGCTTTTCAATAAGCCGCTACGTTCTGAATAAAAGTAGATTGCGAACCGCATCCCTGAAGTGGATGGATCAGCAGCGAAGACGCTATTCCTTACCTTTACGTTACCGACAAAAACTACTTTAGGCTAGGTTGCACAGGCGATTATTTCCCGCTACCGCGATTGGATTGCGGTATGTTGAGGTTCTGCTTACCTGCAGCATCTGGGTAGCTCTTATTGGCGAAGTTCTGAGTATTTCGATCTGCGTCGCATGACGAATCGAACGCTTTCGAAAATTTCCATTCCACAGAAGCCAACTTCTACACTGCCATCCCTAACCTATGAACGGTAGGCGTGCCTGCATACTTTATTTGAACATGGCCTACGATTGGTTATCCGTGGTAAATTTGAAATGTGAAGATAGGAACAGTCATCTTGTGTTGTGTTGATCAAAGACATGACACAATTAGCCTGGAATGGAAATATTTCTCTAAAAACGGAGCCATGCAGTCATGCCCACCGGTTAAGGATCTGAAGTATAACTGGGGCTCCTTCAGCGTAGAACAAGCTCAACCTGGTTCCAGAGAGAACTCTTTGACGGAACATCCATTCTTTGAAAGAGCGATTGAGGAGAATTGACTATGATGGAGGATATCACAGTCACTAGTTGTCACAAGAATGCTATCACAAGAATGCTCGTGGGTAAAAGTCGAATCACGGACGGGATCCACACTCTCATCTTCCGCTTACCGGGCGGTTGCGTTCCCTATTACGCTACCGGAGTCACCCTTGACGTTCGTGGTCTGACTTTTGCCCACAACTCAGCATTCTTGTGATAGTTTTCGGATCGCGTACCTCGGCGTTAAACACCAGTTATCAAACAGGTAAAATCAATTTTTGCAGAAAATATTTTTGCAGAATTTTTTGATTTCTACCCAAAGGCATTGCGAAGGCAAGTGGCACCATAGGTCTCCTAAACGTGTAGGAGTAACACGCGTATGGGACAGCACCCGGACCCCTCAGCAATTGCTCCGTGGCGCCTTTCACAACCAAGAGCGCCTTCATAAGATCTGAGCAAGATGCAGCATGCCGACCCACATGGACGCCCACTGCAACCGCCGGCCCACAATTAACGAAGCATTCACATCGACGATAGTACTTGTCATCGCTTCACTTATGAAATACGGTTGATATACAGATCCTACATGGATATAGTAAATGTTCATAGAGCCGCATCTATCAGAGCGGTTGTTGGCACGGTGCTATCCAGAAACTCGTCCAAAAGTGCTCGTCCAACTCCCGTAGAACAAAGGGTTCTTCACAAGTTTCCGGTCGCTCAACTTACCTTTTCGTTATTTTTAGCACCTCTGCTACTATTGGGCAAGTACCAAATCATCGCGGCTTATGCCTTCAATATTTGTCGACATAATATTAGGTTGTTCGAAAAGTCCTGCGACACTTTGACCAAATTTTTCGAACTAAATTTCTGGTCAGTAAAGGACATCTCCAATCTACAAGGTAACCGCAGTTGATGACTAGGACTAGTGCCTTTCTTTTGCACAGCTTCTCATTTCCATTCTCATAGAACTACGGCAACTGTGGTAAAAAGAAGAGGTGGACCTCATTCTCGAGTTGAGGTTGATTTTCGGAACTTTTGCTTTTTGAAGGATGCGATAGTGACCAAAGGAGGTGGTAATTAGAGGCTGCTAACTTTGTTAAATAACCTGAGTACGGTCGCATTCTCTGATCGAAATGCATGATCTTTTGGCGTAGCCTGATCCCCACAGCGGTCCTCGCATTACCGAGTAGTAGAGAAAAATTGAGTATTTCTGAATGAATTCAAGCGTGACGTCATCCATATTTTGAAGTCGATTAAGGTGGACTGTGGTCCTTACAACGGTGCTAGTATCCAGTGATACCGCTTTGAAGTCCCACCAATAACACACTGAAATCTTTATCCCATGCACATCTGCTTTTGGCTAAGCAATCTACTTTTCTGTTTGAGAGATCCTGCGAGGGACATGTGCATGATGTACGCAAGGACTCCAACACTCGCTACCAACCACAAGATCTCACAAAAGTTCTTTCGCTGTGTACAAGGAAAAGAAAACTCAGTCACGGTCATTCGGTATGACTTGTCAGACGGGTCCAACTCATGAGGCATCCTTCACAAAAAATTTTTTCCGATAACCGAGATTGCGGAGAAGCATGGCAGTTGTCAGTCAGATGGAGCCTAGAGAGGTCGCCAACTTACCGGTGGTTACGTTCGGCTGCGCCTCAAGAAGCTTGAGTAAAGGGCCGTCATTCTGTGCTGATGGGCGACCTATACATTGCCCAACTACGAGTTAAATAAGTCCAGCCTGGAAGCGCTGATGCAAAAGCTACCCTCTGCCATGGCAAGCGATATCCTTCCTCAAGACAACGTAGGTGTCAGCTTCCTTGACTACGGCGGAGTGGCCCTACAGGAACTCATAATATGGGACAGGTCGAAAAGTACCTCAATCTCTGGGGGACTTTTAAGCTTTGAAAACTTCCTCAAAGTCATGATATACCCATGTGCAGAAACCCCAGAGGACATTGTCCACTAATCAGGGATGAAAACATTCAAAATTATTTTTGGTCTTTTTCTAGAACAATTCAATCAAAGTGTCGCAGGACTTTTCGAACAACCTAACATTTTTCTGAAGAACGCTTCAAAAAATTCATTCACCTGGATTACAAGCACACAGAGCCCGGACTCTGATCGTACCACTTCACCGGTTTTATCGTCTACCCGGATTAATCGTACTGGATAAAACATCTTTGTAAAAGGATATATTGGAAGGAATCCGCATGCACCAACATATCCATCAATATTCACTGAAAATGTGAAAAGTTGACTTCGACGCAAAACAGGGAATAAACGATGTAGGCCGGGTACTGTAAACGTACCAAGATTCGAAGTGCCTTCAGTAGCACCATAGACTTCGCCAATTTTCACTCGGAATCGGTCCACAAATTGTTGCCATATTTCCGCACGAAGACCGTTCCCATAGAGAGACGCATTTGATGTGTAGCCTCTTCGGGAACAACTGGCTGGCTAGTAGATAACGGCAGAGTTCGCCGATATATTGTGAGGCCTGAAAATGCAAAACAACGGTCAATACGGTGAGTACCATATTTACTTTATTTCTTTGAGCACTTACTGTACAGTGATATTTTACACAGTCCTTCCAAAAGTTACTGGCCGAAAATCGCTTCCGAATCACACAAGACGAGTCGCGGCAGATTGCTTGCCCCACTCCTGGAAAGCCATCGTCTATTTGTGGAGAACAGGCCGGTGCCGTGCCAAACTCAGCTCCCTGACAGGCCCTAACACAGCGGACAATTCTGTGAACGCTTGGATTGCACAATGCGACTCTTCTATTCTACGTGGAAGCTCGCTCCCTGGCCACAGCATCGCAATGGGAGAAGTGGTAATGCCGAACGACCCCTCCGGATTGCTTTTTCCTGCGATTCCCCTTCCTTCACCCAACCTCTGATTCCTCAATTTTCCCAACTTTCCCCATCTTCCTGCTTCTCCCTCTCAGTGTTAAGAGCATTTTCTCACTTTTTTTGCCCTGGCAAGCTGGCCCCTGTCACCTAGAAAGAGGTGAGAAGGAGGTGATCACCACGCATAGTGGGAGAGTTTCTGTCCGAAGCGGATAGCGGATACGACCCCTCTCCCCTTCCCTAACTTATAAGTACCCCCCTCTGATGGAATTTTCCCAACTATGAGCCTGTCGCTGCCTCCACACATTCAAGCGAGCACTTCTCTTTCCACCTACTGCAAGCCCTTGTTGGGCATGCGGTTCATCGCCGCATGTAAATAGCTCTGATGAGGCAAAGCACAGTGTTGACGGTGCAGAAATTACTATGGTCATATTACTTCGCCAGGGCTTTGTAGCATCGCGTTGTGGGATATTTTGGTTGGGGAGGGGGGGGGGAAGAAGATCGTGTCAAATTTGACGGTATCTCAACCAGAGAAGGGAGTGGATCAGCATTCAGTTTCTCTCCTGGGAAATTCACGCGCTGAGCCAGACTTGGGTCTTTTTGTGCTCAGGGTTTCTGCTCGGTATCACATTACCAGCGTACACTCACCTCTGTGGTTTTTGGTCCCTGCCACACGTGAGGTGATTGGGTCCACAGCTGCAGCAGCGCGCCACATTCTCCGCCTCAAAGTGCAGGAAAAGAAGGCTCGGATAATACTCGTGTACGGTCTCGATACTCACCACGCGCTGCCGCACGGCCAGCTACACGCCTAATCATAGCCGAGGCCTCTGCTTGTCTGTGCCCTCTCAGTTCTCTTCTCTTCCGCTAGGTGCGTGTTCCGTTGCAGGATTTTAGCATCGACGCAAGTGCTGCACCTTGACGATAGCGCGGTGGATTCGCGAGTCTGCACCTGGATATCAATCCCCTCTAGGCCGTTCTCTTATTCTTTTAGCCGAGGAATGAGGCACGCTACTGCAGTTATGAGCCCAACCACCTCGCGTGTGGCAAGGACCGTCCTGGGAAGTGAACGAACGTTTGTCTTCAAATGTGAAGGAGACTTTTCCAACTATAAGAAAGAGCAGCTTCGCAGCTCCACTGATCGAGGGCGTAGATAGCCCGAAACGGGTGAGTGAACAATCACGATTTCTTTTTCAGATACGATAACCTCCCTCAGCGGGTGAACGCGTACCCCCCCCCCTTTGTGTTTTACACAACTATTACATATATGCTTCACTCTAAACATCAAATTATAACCCGTTCGATTTTTCAGACGCAGCGAATTGTTCCTGAACGATAATGGTTGCAAATAAAAGACCATTTTAGTGCGTCGCAAGGCTCTCATAACCTAGGCATCAGGAAACGCGGTCAAAGAACAACCTTACTCCTTTACCTTTCCTCTCACCTAGAATACCGGCTGCAGTGTGATAAATTGGCATCGACACCATAAATTCTATCTGATGGCTGTAAACCGAACGATTTGGCTGTTCCAACCACCATCGAGTAGTACCTGTATAGCTGCATTGATATTTCACATATTTTATTTCAAACGAATACGCAATCCACGTAATACAGACGTCTTCGTTTGAAAAAAAGGGGCGCAATTTGGCTACGGAGGGGCATTTTGCACTTTCGCTGCTTTACTAGTTCCGGTTTACAAGTCTCACTCTGGTGAAACCTGTGAACTCTTGTGAAGCTGGAGCAAGCTCGTCGAGCCATCATGGTAAAACCTGTCAACTCAAGAAAGGCTCTCTAGATGGGTGGACACGTTGATGGGAAGCAGCAAATGTGCAAACTGCCCCCCGTAGTCGAACTGTACCAGATAGGGGATATTGCTTCCTGAGGGTAGGGAGGGATGGATAGTGTGGCTAGCGCTGACCCAGCTTCAAAAAGCGGTTCCATTTTCGCCAGAGCAGCCAAGCCTCTCAACCGCCAGAATCTACAATTAGGTCTAGACTCGTCTGGGAGGAAATACACCACCTTTCGCACTGGATAACCGAAAAAGTGTAGTATAGAAGCAATAACTGGCTGCGGACAGCGTTACCTTCTCTCCTCAGTTGGATTTCCTAGACGTCCAGCTGTTCACTGAAATGGATGAGGCCAACCTCGAAGCCTATTATTCGGTGAGAGTAGGCGGACTCTCGTTCAAAGCCAGAGCTCGAAAGTTTCGGGCAGTTCAACGACGGAGGGGGGGGCACTTTGCACTATTGCTACCCTCGTCATCCGAGCAGTTGATTAGGGCGGTCGTCAACGGGCCGCAGCGCGTGCCAGGAACTATTTGCTTTTTCCAGGCTAATTTAGTCATTTTTCCAACTTTTCACTGTTTTGGCTACTTTTTCCCAGATTAGCAGCTCCTTATCTTCACAAGGTGGAAAAAATGACTAAATTAGCCTGGAAAAAGCAAATAGTTCCTGGCACGCGCTGCGGCCCGTTGACGACCGCCCTAATCAACTGCCCGGATGACGAGGTTATGACGTGTCGATTCATTTAGAGAGCCATTTCATGAGCTCACAAGAGTGACAGGTTCTACCATGATGACTAGACGAACTTGCTCCAGATTTACCAGAGTGCACAGGTTTCACCAGAGTGAGACTTGTAAACCGGAACTAGTGAAGCAGCGAAAGTGCAAAATGCCACACCCTCCCCCCCCCCCCCTGTCGCCGATCTACGCTGAGCAGTTCCTTTACGCATTCTTCTGACCAAATAATTCTCAGCGAAGCTTGCACAGGCCCCCTTGCGAAGGCTCGTGATTCCCTGTAGCCAAAGTGGCTCACTTGTGCCATTTCCAGCTCCACAAAGTTCTCAGGTTTGTCAACAGGAAGTTGCAAGAAGAACTGAGAGTGCAGAACGTTCTTGAGCAGGACAGCGACCATCCCTTCCTCTAGACATTACTAGGTCACGTTAGGATTGCATGTGATGGTCAACGGACTGTTTGACGTAACGTTCGCGACAAGGAAGATTGTGAGACCTAATAAGGAGTATTGAACAAGCACCTCACCGGTAATGCCTGATGACAGCAGCCTTTGGCAGGCCAGTCGTACCACTTGTGTAAATATAGCACAGAACACCTGCAAGACAGATCAAAATTTTAACTGACTCTCGGATCTCCTGGATAATTTTAAAGCATGTACCTGAAAGTAGACGTGGTCTTAGTGTAGGGCTTGGTTGAGAAAAGGTACTTGTATCCTGCCTGGTCAAGCCTTTTTCACGGCTCTATGAATTCATACGCCATTCCCATTACCTGTTTACTGCTGACGCACACTGTTTTACCCACTAAAGTCCTCAGATTTCATTGGCATCGGTTCATGGCTTCATCATCTGTAGAAGCTTGTCATTCACCGACCGTGTCAGGGCACGTTCACACTTTGCGGAAGTGAGCGCTAGCAACGTGTCCCCTCGTCCCAGGAGGCACTTCGGCGACGTAGAAGGGAGCCGGCAGGGGGGGTGCATTTATACTATCCCTCCTTCCCATTCACGTGCGGACCAATCTAGAGAGCCTTTTCTTGGGTTAACAGGTTTCAATATGGTGGCTCGACGAGCTTGCTCCGGCTTCACAAAACTTCACACGTTCAACCTGTGAACCGGAACTAGTGAAGCATCAAAAGTCCTGAATTTCCCCCGCCCTCCGTCGACCGTCCCTGCAACCCGCTAGAGTCATTCAATTGGTTCTCTGTGCTTGAGGAACACGATCAGACCATACCAGTCATCACTGACATTCCCTTTTCACATGGTACTCTGCTCCAGGAAATTTCGACTATTAAGCCGAAGAAGCAATTCCCACAGCTTCAAGGACCTACGCCTATACCTAACAAGGAAACCATGGATAGTTTTCAACTCGGTACAAGTTTTATGATCGCTGCGACCTCACACGGTCCAGCTTTGTTCTCATGAGAAGTGTTCCACCATTAAGGAGTCTTCTAACCCAGAAAAAACCCATCTTCCGGTTGCCACATGCACCGTGTACTTTGCACCATTTGACACCTTGCCAATCATTGACTTTCCGGGGTTTAATAGCACGTGGAAAATTCATGTGGTTACATATCCCCCCTACTTCAATAATGTCTTTGTTTACCTATGGAAACTGGTTTTCACTGACTATGACACAAGAAGTTGTTACCACTACTATAAAGTTACTTTTACTGACCTTGGCATATGATCGGGCACGAGCGAGGGCAAAAAAAACAACAAAGTGACTAATTTGGAAAATGAGTGGATAGACGAGTAGGAATAGAAAAATGACTCTGGTTCACTACGATAAAAAGCCTCTCATTACAACACAAACAGGTAATTTCGTCAATTTGGTGGGTGGAAGGAAAGGTGAAGATATTAAATGCTAAAATTCCGTGAAAATGCGAGTTATGCCAATATTTCAACAATATGAAAAAAATTTGCCGCTCGTTCACTCGCCAACAGCGGCTTTTCGCGAAGTATGGAGGCTTTCTCAGGCACAGCCTCAATACTCACTCCTGTGGGTCCTGGTCCGTGAAGTAGTCCGCAGCTGCAGTAGCGCGCCACCGTCTCTCCTACGGGAGAGGAGCTGGAGGGTAGTGTACTCGTGTGCCGCTGGGGACTCCTCTTGCGCGGCGCACTGCCAGCTACACGCCAAACCGTAGCCGTACCAACCGTAGCACATGTAAGTTTGCAGGATTTGGTATGCTGACAAGCGCTTACAGGTATGCCCCCCCCCAAGATACTATCGTTGTTGCTCATACCGCTCTCCAAGTGATTTAGTATCTTAACCTAAGTCAAACAACTGAACTACTTTAACTTGAGTTTCCTTTTTTCGGGTAGATTAGGGCCGGCTCTGTGGTCGATCTTGTTCGGCGCAGGTCGGCGATGGGGGAGGGAGGGGGAGGGCATTTTGCAATTTTGCTGCTTCACTAGTTCTGGTTTACAGTGCCATTGTGGTGAAACCTGTAAACTCTTGTTAGCAAATTCGTCTAACCAGGCAAAACCTGTCAACTCTTGTAAGCTCAGGAAATGGCTCTCTAAATGGGTCGACACGTCCGATGGGAAGTAGCAAAAAGGTGAATGTCCTCCCCCCCGGTCACCAAACTGCCCCAATGTCCTATACTCCAGATGGACATATGGATTTTTTCATAATGTTCGTGATGAATGAATTTCTGGTCTCTAAACTGGGAGAAAACTTGAAGAAACGGAATAGTTTTGATGGGTTGCTCTCCGAGGAAAGACTACAAGGAAAACGGGAACCTGAAGAGAAAAGTCAATTTTCTGAACTCACTTTTGAAATCAACCACATCCAACTGCCGTGGTTCGACTGCTCGCTGATCTTTCAACTTGTTGGTCAAAGGGACGAAACGAGAGCTATTTTCAGGTTGGCCGATGACATACATATGTATAACGCTAAATCGTCACAATCGAGCAGTTTATCCGCTATCGCTTCATGAGGTACTTAAAGGCTGAGCCCGCATTCAAATTTGATGAGTT